TAGCGCCGAGCAGGACGATGCTGGCGTCGAACAGCGCCGAGTAGATGATGAGAACGCGCAGGTCGCGAAGACGCTGTCGGTTGAAGTACTGCCGGTAGAGCACCTCGTGTAGCGCGTTCTCGAAGTCGGCGTTCAGCAGGCTGCGCAGCCGACTCGACCAGACGCTCGGCTTTATCAGGACGCTGCGGCTGCCCAACTCGGCCGTGCCACCCGACGGCTGCTGCTCGGTTAGTGCCGCCTGGCTCACTCCGTGACCTCCGCTGGCCGCCATCAGGGAGTGACCGGTGCGCACGGGATCTCGGGAGATCCAACGATGGGATCCTTAAGGGTTCGCACAGGTGATTATAGATATTGACGGATACGGACTGGTGATTATATCTTGAGGACGTTCCAGAGGTGATGGGATCTTTAAGGATTCGCACAGGTGGTGATTACATTTTAAAGGATCGCTGTAGTCAATGAGACCTTGAGATTATTACTCACTTGTAATTAGCCTCTGCTGCTTAATTCCCTCCCCGCCCTCGCCAATTGCCGTTGCCGCGGGAATCGAGGTCTCCGAGCGACGGCATCAAAAACCCGCCAATGTTCGAACGATATAGACATCTGGCCTGGACGCTTCTCACCCGTTGTTACATTAGCGCTCTCTGTCTCTCTTCTGTCCCGCTCTAGACATATACGTAAGAGTACCTACAGTAGCAGTGTAGCTCGTGCCTCTGGTGTCATGGCCGCGTCCTGTGAGCGTGTGACGGTTGCTGCTGGTGTTGCTTCTGCGTGTCCGCGTGTCGATGTAAGGTTGTCGGATGTAGACGAGAGCACATACACGCATACACGCCGACAGACGGAGCGATGAAAGGACACGTCGGCAAGCTTATTACGCCTGAACGCGGCGACGCGCCCACCTCACAGTGAAACGCGTTCTTGCCCTCTGTGTGTGTCTTTTTCTCTCTCTCTCTCTCTCTCTATCTCTCTCTGTCTGTCTCTGTCTGTCTCTGTCTGTCTCTTCCTGTTTCTATTCCTCTCTCTGCGAGTCTCTCTCTCCGCGTCTCTCTCTCTCTGCGTCTCTCTCTCTCACGGCGTCTCTCTGTCTCTCTCTCTCTCCGCGTCTCTCTCTCTGTCTCTCTCTTTCTCTTTCTGCGTCTCTCTATGTGTGTGTGTCTGTCTCACTCGCGCCGCTGCGTGCCACTAACGCGCGGAACACGGGACGCGAATTAGTTGACGTTGTCAGTCAGTCGCCTAGGCAACGCTAGGCTGCTGCTGCTGCTGCTGCTGCTGCTGCTGCTGCTGCCTATTGCTCGCAGAGTGATCGTGTCGTGGCTGCGTCTGCGGCATTATCGTAGCGGCGGCGCACGCGCGGCGACGGCCGCCTGCGTCGAGAGAGCGGCGGTCCGTCATCCGTATGCACGCAGCAGGGTGGCGTGCGCGTGACCCACGTGGCGCTGTCGCGCCCGCTGCTGGACGTTGTCAACGGGGCCTGGCGCTGGAGAAGAGGCGCAGAAACAGGGACGACAGAGCGAGGGAAAGGGCAGAGGAGGACAAAGGGTAGGGAGAGGATAGCGGGAAAGGGGAGAGAATAGCGGGAAAGAGGAGAGAATAGCGGGAAAGAGGAGAGAACGGCAAAGGGAAAGAGGAGGACAGAGGGAATGAGAGGGGAGCGGAGGACAGAGGGAAGGGGAAGGGAGGACAGAGGGAGGGGAGGGGAAGCAGAGGAAAGGTGAAGGGGAGAGGAGGGGTTAGGGTTTCAGGGGTGCTGCTGCGCGAGGAATACTCGCCCTCTAAGAAATTTCCATCCTATTACGTTTCTCAAATGCGTCACATTTGTGGTAGTAGATGGCGCTGCGCTCTATGTCGAAAGAATATGTTAAATTGGTTAGTTATTTAAACATATGCAGAATGCAGTAAGACGAATTTAGAACAATGTTACACTATTTCTGTATAATTTACAGTCGTAGATATTGGCTTCTCGCGGTCAGCGCTAAAACATAAAATCCCCAAAATTGTTAGACGGAGCATCTGAAACAGCAATAAGCATCGGTGCACAATACTTCGGTCTCTTAAGGAGAGACCGTAAGAAAATTTTTTTAGGACTCATAAGAAGAATCCGTGTATGTGAAGGGGGTATTACGGGCATTTTATCCTTTTTACGGATTGTTACGGAATGTTACGATTTATCGAAGCTTTTACGTGTTAGTTACGACCTGTTTACGTGTTGTTACGAATAGGTACGAGTTAGTTACGAGTATTTACGAGTCCTTGCGATTTTTTGGCAAAAAGTATATAAAAATCCTGCAAATCTCAATCTATCATCAATTTGTTGACTGCCTTCTTCTTTGGAGCCATGCTTGTAGATATTGTAGAGTAGATATGCAGAGATGTGACTTCTCTGACTTCTTGATAACAACTGAAAATAACGTGTTCGATTTTGCAGTCTTTCCTAAATCGTAAACAATACGCAAGAATACGTAAAGTATACGTATCTATTCGTAAAGTGCTCGTAATAACTCGTAACAATCCGTTACAATCGTACAATTGTTACGAGTCATTTACGGATTATTGCGAGCAGTTTACGGATGGTTACGTGTTGTTGCGAGCGGTTTACGATACTTACGGATTGTTACGAGTTATTTACGGAAAAAATCAATTCGTGGACACTCGTGAGAAGATTTTTGACATGTCAAAAAATTTGCTTCTCCTTTCACGGATCCTTACGAGTGTCTGCGAGTTGTGACGAGTTAATACAGATACCAGCGAGTTATTTACGAATGCTTGAGATTGACTACGAGTTGGGGTCTTAATTACTTACCTAGTCTCTATAGAATTCTACATAGCTGTGTTAGGAATTAACATACGACCGAAAAACCGACGCTGAACAAACGAAAGATACCGATATTTATTAAAGGTAGGCTAGCGCTGATCGAGCGACTCTCGCGCATCGGAAGCAGCAATTGGCAATAGCAGCATGTTAATTTTTACCGCGTCCAGTACGCGTAAAACACAATGAAATAGTGAGGGGGAAGGTGGGGCGGAAGAATTAGCTCCCCTCTTGATGCATGTGCAGAGCGGTACCGGAATGCCTCAGTCGAAAAAAACACGAAGCGAATACAGCCAGGATAACCACTGTAAATGATGATCGCTTAGATGCGAGGCTGATGCGATCTCCCCCCCCCCCTTCCCTCGCCACACCGCGACGTTTGGCTGCGAGCCATCATACCGTGTTTAGAAAACGGATTGATCGCAGTTGGTTTTCGTGTCAGTCAACTTACGTTTCGTTTTAAATGCGGAAAAATCGGCGATAAAGACCACCAGCTTGACAGTGTAAATAGTACCCATACGTACACGGTTAGAGATTACCGGTGGTGGGCGTAGAAATGCTATCTAAATACGTATACGTATAGAGAAGTTGATTAAGCTTTATTGCGCATGAAGAAGTACCGGCCATATATGTCCTGCTCTTCCCAAGACAGATGTTAACAAATTCGGATAATCGTAACTTAAGGGACCTAGCCCTGTGTGTTCTTTTTGCATGCAGGTCGGACGGTGCTAGTCTGATTACACTGCGTCTCGGATTAATAACCGAGCAGAGCTGACTGCATAGAGGCAAGTGTATGCCGCCGATACTGCATATAGTGCAGGTCTGAAAGAGCCAGTATACTAGCAAGAGTCCATAATAGAAGATAATGATAATTATACATATATGATAAAGATAAATATATATGATAAAGATAATTTTTATTATGGACTCTTGATACTAGATATCAGATCATGTAGCATCCATGCTATGAATGTTGTGCTGTGGAAGGGATGAACGCCGCCAGACGAAGACAACATCTGAGCAACCGTCGGGTGACAGGCACACAGACAGGGCAGCCGTCAGCGGGAGTTTACTGCAGGAAGCATTATAGGGACCATATAACAGTAAGCCTCCGCAGCACCGTTGCACTATTCGGTCCACAGAAAGGGACATGATGACATTCGGCGCTAGAGTGCAATAATTTGCAATATGCACGCAAGTTATAAAAATTATGCCCCGTGGACGTCTAAAAAGCATTAGCAGTAAGATTGGACTTGTCATGTAATTAAGCCATTCCAGCAAGTGGCGTAGGCATGGTGACCGGTCGGCCATTTTTGTGTTTGAAACGGGATCCGACTACTCTGTAGAAATACGCATCATAGAGCTGGCAAAGGTTTCGAGCAGAGTATGAATCTGTAGTTATCATGAATAAAGTGTATGTTGTGTATGCGACGAAACGGTGTGGGTATTTTTCATTAATTTCTGTTTGACGCTTATTCAGGCCTGCTGCCTATGGACGCCTTCTACTGTTGTACAACACCTATAGGGACATGAGAGGGGGATTAGAGTTTATAGTCGGGTTCTAGTTCTAAAACGTCGGCGACACGCGTATTTACACGAGAGAAGGTGGATGCGTGAGGATTTCAGTCCAGTTTCATTAGTCATCAGTCGTGAAATCCACGAATCGAGTAGTTTCAAACAGAAACTACAATTGGAAATGATTATTTGTCTAAAGTAATTAGGGTCAGGTATGAGATGTTGTTAGAGAAAATCTGCTAAAGAATAAAAATAATAAATTATAAATCGCACGTATATAGCCTGAAACACAGCAATAATGCACATGATAGTCGCACATCTTCCCCATATACCTTAGAGGTTTAACCCACCACCGTAGCACTAAAACGCAGACGGATTAAATTGCTGTAGGAAACCGACGGTGACAACGTGCCACAGATGCAATCTATATGAGCGCGAAGATTGACAAGTCTATCCTGTTAACATGTGACAGGCGGCGCGGCGCAGCACTCAGCGGCTCACTACGTTCATAACTCCATTATGCAGACTATCAACAACAACTCGGCAAGGCTGTCGGCGTGCGCGTCGATGTGGAAGGTCGCAAATATAGGTGTTGTGTACCAGTAGAGGGCGACCATACATAAACAGCATGCCTGAATAAGCATCGAACAGTATAGTAATTCATTAAAAATGCAAGTTTCGGCGCATACGCGACATACATTTTATTTATGCTAAATCATTACAGATTCAAAGAGCGATCTTCACTCGAAACATTTGCCAGATTGTTTTCGAGAATTTTCAGCTTGTAGTCGGATCCCGTTTAACCACAAAATGGCCGACCGGTCTTCATGGCTACACCACTTGACGCAAGGGCACAATTACACGACAAAAGCAATCTCACTTCCAATGCATTATAGACGTGCATGAGGCATCTACCTGCGTGCATAATGCAAATGAGTGCACTCTACTTCCGAATTTTATCGCAAAAACAAAACAAAAGAAATTAAAGCGAGAGATTTTTCAGGGACAAAATCGTGCAAATGCGGAAGGCTACTGTTGTATGCCACCTATATGAAACCTAGATGTTGGCCGTGCGCCGTAAGCAGTAGTGATTCGCGGTTTTACGCATTTTAATGTTACATGAAAATGATTTTTACGTGTATACGAGAAACTACAATATACGAATATCAAAATAGCGTAGGGTTTGCAACTACAGATCTCAGAGAGGTGAGGCAATTTCCGTAATGAAATTACTATTATTTTCCATTATGCCAGTGTGTAGCGAGATTGTATACCAATTGCTAGTGTCAGCGTTTTTTCAGAAAAAATATTTCATACAAAGATAATTATTTATGTCTATGTGAACATAATCAAAAACAACGATAAAATTTACGTGAAAACATACATGATGTACGTACATTTCATTAAGCTTTTTTATATTTCACATTGAATTTTTATCGCTACAGGCATCGTTTTAAATACATTTCATATTTAATGTCTTAACTCTGCATCCAGCATGTTAAATTGCTCGATCATTTATCATGCGTTGATCTTCATGTGAATACATACGTGAGTTATATACAGGTATAGATAGGTTCCTTACCTTGATTATGATACAACGCGACTCGTAATCTAATTCGCCGTATATAACATGCTTTACAGACTATGTACAAATAAAATAATAATTACATTCAAAATGCGGTATAGTGTAACACGTATTTCTATACGTTTCGTTGACCAAACAGACAATCATAAAACGCGTCAGGGTTAATGTAACGATTTTCTCTACGGATTTCGCCCTTCCCTGAGCTATTTTATGCCTACGGTCGTCAGTTGTTATAACACTGCACACCGACGCTCCACTAGTCAATCATAACTTGATCGATTATCGATTAATTTGCATCTGTAGCTATTTATAGCGGCCATTACCGACCGCTACAGCTGTAGATGCCGGGTTTTAATCTACTGTCAATCGCGCGTGTACGATTCTCCTCCTCCTCCACTTCCTCCTCCCCCTCCTTCTCCTTCTCCTTCCCCCTCCTCCCCTTCCCTCCCCTCTTCTTCCTTTTCCTCTCCCTTCTCCTCTTCCCCCTATCCTGCTTCTCATCCATCTTTTTTCGCTTTCCCCACCTCACTCTCATCCTTTTTATCCAACTCATTTTTTTTCATGTACTTATTTAGCTTCTGCTACACGCCTTTATATCCCCCTTGTGCGTATCCATATCTTCTTCTTCGTCGTCTTCTTCTTCTTCTTCTTCTTTTCTTCTTCGTCATCCTCATCGTTTTTCTTCGTTCTTCGTTTCTAGTCCTCCTCCTCCTCCTTACTCTCCTCCTTCTTACCCCTCCCTCCATTCCTTCTCTGTAACATCCTTCTTGTTCCCCCTCCTCCTCATCATTCCCCTCCTCCTCCATCCGCCCGCCCACCGTGATCCCATCGCCTCGCACGCAATCGTGACATCATTATCAGTGGCAGCCGCACGCCTTGACGATCATGTTGCGGTACTTCTTCAAGATGACGTTCGAGTTCTTGTCGTAGTAGAGCACCTGTATCGCGGAGAGCTTCGTCGGCACGCAGCAAGGCTTCGGCACACTGTCGGGCTTCATCAGGTTAACGAGCGTCTGCACGATGGCGTGGTTGCTGGCGTTCATGCGCGCGTTCAGCGGGAAGGCGCACTCGCCGTAGCAGTAGAAGGCCGAGTAGCCGTCGGGCGCGATGATCCAGTCCTAGGGAAGAAGCGTTGCAAATGTTAGAGCGTTTATTATAGGGTGAGATTCAGCCATACAGGGGGGAGAGGGGAGATGAGTGGATGGATAGATGGATGAATGAAGTGAAATGGTATGGATGGATGAATGGTGATGGATGGATGGATTGGATGGATGGATGGATGGATGGATGGATGGATGGATGGATGGATGGATGGATGGATGGATGGATGGATGGATGGATGGATGGATGATGGATGGATGGAATGGATAAATGGATGGATGGATGTGATGATGTGCATGGATATGATGCGTAGATGATGGATGGATGGATAGGAATGATGGAACCATGGGTGGAGGAAGGATGGTATGGCCGTGGATGGATGATGGATGGTGGATAGATGATGGTAATGGATGGATGGATGGATGGATGGTGGATGGATGGATGATGGATGGATGGGATGAATGGATGGATGAATGGAATGAATGGAATGGATAGACTGGATGGATGGATGGATGATGGATGGTGGATGGATGGGATGGATGGATGGATGGATGATGGATGGATGGAATTAGATGGGAGGATGGATGTGGATGGATGGATGATGGGTGGGATATGGTGAAGAATTGATTGATGAGATGGACATGGATGAATAGATGGTGGATGGATGAGCAGATGATGGGTGGATGGCGTGGAGCGGTGGATGGATGGATGGATGGATGGTGGATGGATGGATAGATGGAGGATGGCATGACATGGAATGCGATGGATGAGTGAATGGATGGATCGATGGATGGGATGGATGGATGGATGGATGGTTGGATGATGATGATGGATGGATGGCATGGATGGATGGATGCGATGGATGGATGGATGGATGGATGGATGGCATGGTGATATGGATGGATGGGATGGGTGGATGGATGATGGATGCGATGGTGGTATGGATGATGGAATGGATTGGATGGATGATGGATAACATGAATGAATGGGATTGGGGAGATGGGTGGATGGGTGGATGATGGATGGATGATGGATGGAATGAATGGATTGGATGATGGTATGGATGGATGGATTGCGATGGATGAGATGGATGGCATGGATGGATGGATGGATGGATGATGGATTGATGATGGATGGATGGCATGGATGGAGTTGATGGATGAATGACATGAATGACATGATGGTCTCGTGGCATGGCGTGATGGATGGATGGATGGAGGAAGGATAGATGGTGGATGGATGTATGGATGGAATGGATGATGGATGGATTGGATGGATGGATGGATGGATGGATGGCTGGAATGGATGGATGGATGGATGGATGGAGGATGGATGGATGGATGGTATGGATGGATAGGATGGATGTATGCGATGAATGAATGGCATGGATGGAACAGAAATGATCATGGATGGATGAATGGATGAATGGATGGATGGTGATGGTCATGGATTAAGATGGATTGGATGGATGGAAGAAATGATGCAATGGTATGGATTGAATGGAATGAGGGAGAAGATGGATGGATGGTAGATGGATGATGGATGGATGGATGTAGGATGGATGGATGGATGATGATGGATGGATGGTATGGTGGCATGGGATGGATGGATGGATGATTGGATGGAGGGATGGATGGATGGATGGATGGATGGATGGATGAATGGATGGATGAATGGATTGATGGATGGGTGGATGGATGGATTCAGTTGTACAGGAGAATCACATATGGGAAAGAGACTTATATAAGCTGTACTATCGAAACTCCACTCCTATACGACAGATGATTATAGATATCGGGGTTACTTATAGGATTGTAGTAACGATACTCTATTCCTATACGAAAAGATTCGAAATGTTAGTAAAACTAGCCTTAGCGATGCAAACTGATGCATTGATAGCAGTGCATGCGACAATTACGGACAGGTACGTTCTAGATGACAAGAACTAGCTACGCCGCTGTAAATGATCTGCATTAATCATGCGCCATGGCAGCGCGGGATATATAGCAGAGGTTATTGCTATAGGATATCCGCCTTAAAACCCAGAACGTCGTAAACTGAGAATATTGATTAGATAATGCTATATATGTATAGATATACATGTATGCATATACAGTAACTCATACGGATAACAATAATAATAACGCTCGTGCAAGTATCTGTGTGCGTGTGAGTGTGTGTGTGTGTGTGTGTGGGGAGGGGGTGCAGGCGGTCGTGTGTGTGTGCGTGCGTGAGTGAATGTGTAGCCCCTATTCAGTATTGCAGATTACATGATCACACTACTTACCTCCCATCCCAGATCTTTAAAACTAACATACAATTCTCGCCGTTGACAGCTCCGTTGTGCAGACTTATCTGAATTCATAGGAAAAAAATAATCGTATTTGAAAAAATAGAATCACATAATATACTGCATCGCTTGTCGTATAAAGCTAATAAATAAAACGCTATAAATGCGCATTAAAGTGACCGACGCTAATCAGAGCCAGGTATAATTATGATCAAAGAATAAATTTTTTAAACTGCGACCATAATAAATTTTAAAATTAATCATGACGGCATAATACGAAACGCGATTCCGCAATGGCGCAGATTAAAAATATACAATATTAAATATGCGACAGAAAAATATCATCCTGCTAAAACCAAGCAACATGTGAGCATTTGCCGTTCTAATATGGCCGCCGTTACAACGTGAATGCCGCGTGGGAACTGTTTCATGGCACCATAACGGTACTGCGTGCGTACGTTCCGTGATAGAAGAAGGCTTGACTCAAGCACAGGCGTATAGGAGGCCAAGAAGGTATATCGAATGGCAAAAACAGATTGCTGAAAAATCGGCGGTGCATTGGTGATAAACCCGCCTATAAAGTTTGCTAGCAAATTAGCAATTATAAAAAAGAACCAAGTATTTTTGATTAGGGATAGCCGGGGGAAATGGAACATAATAAATAGAAATACGAGGAAACTACTGCATGATGACTGGATATAGTTGCCATAAAATTAGAGTTCATGGTATCTCTTTTTTATGACTTCCTTGTACATTCTGGAAAAAGAACTACGCCCCGATAGACGCAAAAATCAAGACACCAGATGGTGGATACAAGAGACACCATGATGCTAGACTCACATTCATAGTACGTGGTCCACTCGTAGTTATCGGTTGCCGCCACATTGCTGCTCTCTTGTCTTCGACGAGGCGCACGCTTCCGGCGCACGTGACTCTGGCTCTGCGCCGCGGCAGCGAAGAAGGCGACCATAAACGGAAGTTTCCCTTCTGGACCGTATCTGGTTACTAATGACGCTTCGTGCATCTCCAGTGACTCTGTGAGAAAGGATGGGAAACGGTGTTGTGGCATTGTCTGCGTTTAAGGCATTATGGTTTGAATGATTTCGACCTACTGGAAAAATATTAAAACCCCCACTATGCCGATAGAAACCGTTTAACAGTTTTGTGTGTGGCATCAGCCAATAAACTGAGCGACTCTGTCCTTGAAGACTGCCAAGCATGTACAGTCACGCTACAGTATTTATGAAGGAAGTATAATGATCATAAGCCAGATTATTTTATTATATCAATTATTAACTTACGAGCTATAGGGAACAGAGAAATGAACTTACAATAGTCGTCAACCCATTCACATGACCCTAAGTTGTACGCTAATCTTCCTAATCACTGTTACTGGACAGAAATGATTTAGTGAAATTCTGTGTTCTTAGTGGATATTTGCGAGATTTCGTCTTACTGTGCCCGCAGATTGCTTGTATGTAGAATCCATAATTAGCGAACGCGTCAGATGTCCAATCCTGTGTCGCCTGTGTGACGTTAAATGTTAGCCAGCCGGCATGGTCGTGACTGACGGTATACGAGTCCGCCAACACTAATTGTCTGTCTCTGAAATTGATATATAACATCGTAATGCTCTGCCCAGCTCGTGAACATTAGCAGTGACGCTGCTAATCATAATAGTCATTAACCTGAATATCCTTGCACTAAACGGTATTATGTAGGGGCGTCGCCGCGTTGCTGAGTTATTAGCGAATAACTTTAAAGTGGATTTAGAAAGCGTTTACAGTTAAATTATGTTTTGACTTACCAATAGCTCAACATCTACTAAAAATAACTCATAAAAAGATTAAAAACCTGTCGATAACTGTGCGTTTGCATAGTTGTTTGTGCTGATATGTGCAGGGAATTAATCTACGATAGTAGTTCTGTCCGCCTAACGTTTGAACCCGCACCAACACCGGTGAATTTTTAAGCAAATATATCGAATACAAAGTGTAATATATCAAGGCAAATGTAGTATGACAAAATAAATGTAGCATAGCAGAGAAAATGTAGTATGATAGAACAAATGTAGTGTAACAGAGCAAATGTAGTATAACAGAACAAATATGTGGTGTAACAGAGTAATAATTGTAGTGCAGCAGAGCAAATATAGTGTAGCAATCTTACTCTGGGTCGATGCCGGGCACTAATTGATACACGTTTACGGTAATGTTGTTCTCGATGTGTCCGTCCAGGCTGGAGTTCTTGTAAATGCGCAATTCTGCTCCAAGAACGGTCTCACCCAGCGGAACCTCGCTCATGTCAAACCGGAATATCCGGTCACGGTCATGTCGCAATGGGTACTCGTGCTTCACTGTGACGTATAAAAAACACGCATTAATATAAGCATATTAAAGCTACAGTGTACAAAAATTAGCGCTGCGTAGCAACCCGTTCGTTAGGCCGGACATGTGCCGAATACGACATGTACTTTCTTGGGTAAGTGTATCACTATAATATCAGACATGTAAGAGATGCTCGGGTGCCGTATAGCTAGTGCGATATAAGGCTGGTGCTGTCTTGGATAAGGCTGGTGCGTGCGTTATCGTACATAAACAAGATCTGCGTGCATCGAATCCGCATCACGAATCCATGCGGCGATCTCGCTATTTCACGTTCTTTCGATTATTCGTTAGATAACTTTTGTGAACGAGGCGTGAAAAAAACACGTCGAACTGGCAAAAGAAAATGTAGCAAAATGGCTGGGAAAAGAATATAACACTGTAATGCTGTATTGTACCTTTTACGGGGACGTGAAATACGTACTATACTGTCAGGAGTATCTGAATAGAGGTTCTATTTGTGTACGCTCTATTGAATTACTCCTGATTCTATGAAACTCGTAAGACTCTACGGTGCATCCTTTTAGCTAAATAGCTTTCACCTGTTACTGTAAATCGTTTCCGATACTTTCCTTAACAGCATTGTTTGTCGATTTACCCTAGAGTCTCGACTCGAGTTCCGTTATCGAGATCTAGTCTAGAGTCCCTTAAATCTATCTAAGTCTAGAGTCCCTTAAATTTATTAATTTATCTGGAACTCCGTTATATTAACACATATTATATGTCACGCATTGATTTCACACATTTCTATGCACAAATTAGTCAATAACTCAATAACACATTATTCAAACATAGTCTCGGAGCGCACGCCCTCGCCTTCGCGTGGGTGTCAAGTGTAAGCACAGCTACCGCGAGCATAAACACACGGCAAACCTCGAACGAATGCGCTACTCTCACCCATTCATCTTCCTTTGGTGGGAACACGGAATCAGACGAGGTTTGCCGAGTGATGACACAGGTGACGTAATCAGCCGCGAGGTCGGTTCATTCAAAAATCACGTGCGCCAATTATCGTTCCAGTCAATGGCAGGAAACGCCAGGTAGCTCATTGTGGGCGAAATTGTTCAGCAAACACACCCGCCTCCCCCACCCCGCCCCATCCCGCTATAAGAGGATTTGCCCCGCACGCTAATCGTCGGGCACAATGATGCGATTTATTTGGTAAGGAGATTTTCGTGAGAATCGTGTCTGCGTGTACGCGCGCGCGCGTGTGTGTGTGTGTTTCCCCGTCTGTTTCTCTCTCCCCCCTCTCTCTCTCTCTCTCTTTCCCTCTTTCGGTACACGGGCTTAGAAAGCGCAAGTGAGAGAACGTTCTAACAACTCGTATAACATAATAACACGCAGGCGCGTACTCACGCACGGGCACAGTCGCACACGAACTCTTGCACGCACCCAAGCAACTACGCACGCACACACGGGAGAGCCCTATAGAATCATCGCCGTATTGTAATTCCCGTAAGAATACCTGCTTCCGTTTTGACCGCGTGTGTCTGGGAGTGGACTTATAGTCCAGCACCTATAATCTGCCCCTTACACGGGATCAGACACCAGCTGCGTCTACAGGCTAAGAATATCATTGACAGACAGTGACACACATCATAGGCGAACGATCACGCGCACGTACGCATGCATCCACACACACACACAACCACACACACACAACCACACACACACACACACACACACACACACACACACACACACACACACACACACACACACACACACACACACACACACATACACACGATTGCGTGCGTGCTTGCCTGCGTGGGTGCGCGCGTGTGCGTGTGTGCGTAAAGTACGAAGGAGACCGTGAAGCGATTTCGTTCAACGGCTCTATCGTTTGATTACATCTAGCTACGCCGATCTTGCGTGCCTAACCGCGAGTTACACGCGCGTACACGACCATTCCCCAGAACGTCTCCATATACATCTGTGTTGAGATCCCATCGCGTAACAGACAGCAAACCAAAGTGCTGCACTGCCGCTCACAGTCTGCTCATACATCACGGGAGCACGATTAATCTGTGTACGCGCAGACGCACATCAGCTGCGCGGCGACCGCGGTATTTTGGGTTCGACATTCATAAACGGCCCACCGTAAACGGTGCGCCAACTACTGTAGCAATTTCGCCTGCTTGGGGTGGATGGTGGGGGGATGGATGAATGTCTGCCTCGAGGGATACGGATGACAGTGGTGTGTGTGTGTGTGTGTGTGTGTGTGTGTGTGTGTGTGTGTGTGTCTGCGCGTGTGGATGTGGGTATGTGTGCGCGCGCGCGTGTGTGTGTGTGTGTGGGTGGGTGTGGGTGTGTGTGGGTGAGGTGGGGGAGAAGTGCTCACGTCAGCTTGCTCGCAACCGCACCAGATGTCTGGCGTTTTTAGTTCAGTAAGCTGAACTGCGCCATCATTACATTCCGTCTGAAATCCCGACGCATTTACCAGCGGCGAAATCAGAAAGTAATAGCAATAACAGTGGGGCGAATATCGACTAGGTTTGTCGAGTTAGGTTAGGAGACTAGGAGAGTTGAGTTATGATCACAAATATACTGACGCCCTTGATCTTTCGAGACAAAAATAATAACTATATAGATGTATGTGTTGTGTGTATGTTAACTCACGATAGCGCACCATACTCTTTTCTACATTGAGAGCAATTCTGCTATGCAATTCTGCTACAGTGCCCGCCTCCACCCGATGAAGTACGCCTCCTACATTCAATTTCAGTTCACTCACTTATATTAGTTGCAGACTAACCACGTTAGCTCATTAACATTCATTTATTACTTTATAGTGATTTTTAGCAGCACTCGTTATTATATGAATTTTATGCTCTGATTGAGTGGCAATTAATAAATCATGCATATAGTAATAACAATAATAATAAATAATAATAATAAATATGGAACTGGTCTAGCTGTATAACGATTTTAATTTAGAGCGCGTTGAATATGCATGTAAACCAACAACGTCAACGTGTCACGACGTACACATGCGACGCGTCCACGCATAGAGTGACATCTATATGTATATGTATAGATGTCACGTACTCTATGCGTATTCTGTACAGTCGTGAGACGAGTGACAGATATGGCGGCTGATCAGTTGGGTGTCGGATAAGATGAAATTGTCGTATTACGCCTAATTGACAATATAAAAAGACACGATTTTACTCGAAAGGCAACGGCGTGTGCGCAACCGTTAGTGGACATTACAAGTGATCGTAGGCCTGCGGCAACGGTACGCGGGCTATAGTACTAGAGCTATATCCAACCCTACTCAGCCACACCATCCAACCCTCTCACCCACACTATTTGCGTACCATGATACTCACCCACACTATTTATCCACCCCACTCATCCACTCTATTCACTCTACTCTCGACTCACCTCAGCCAACACCACAGCCATAACCTCAACCGCTCAACAATAGGAGCTCCACCTGTGTCTCCCTTCGCTTCGTCACACTCAGAGTGCCCAGCCCCTATATGTGCCTAGCAGCTATTTGACCGCTGCGCACGTCTTCCCCACAACTCCGTATTTTTTCCGCACACCTATTTCTACCAGTTGTTTTCCCATCTTCTTCCCGCATATAGGTGCATGTGTATTTCCCTCTACCCCCTACCGCGTGTTTACCGTAGTATTACAGCGTGCTAAATTGCCGACTATCACTGCTTGAACTCCGCCGATCAGCGTCTCCCTCGCTGTGCGGCCGTCAACACGTACAATAAAGACGGCCATTGTCGCGGGCTGATCTCGCGCGAGAATCGCCGCGGGGCTTTCTATATGCGCGGAACACCTGCACGCTAGCGCACGACGCGCGCAGATTACGCTGTATAGCCGTATTACACACGCGCTCGCCAAATCCGGATTATTGAATAGGGGAGTAAACTGGCCATCGGCGAAGAATGCAGCGCGCATGCGCAGTTGCGCGAGGAAGAATCGGTGGAGCGCGTGCAGCGGCGACCCGGCTGCGATGTACGCCGACGATGACTCTTCATTCCCCGCGCGAAACTTGTACGTGCATTGCGACGGATCACCTGCGGATTCATATATCCGAATAGTAAAGGATGGCATCATAATATAATAATCACACGGGCTCACCATAACAGACTGGTGTGCGTAACTCGTCATACCAGCTCGCTATCTCGCGGATCTGTGCGTGTACGTACAGACAAGGCCGATTATGTGAGCGGCCTATATATGTGTGCGTATATACTGTACTCACACGCGCGCATACAACACATGCATCCTGCCGAGGTCGGTAAGATTTTCTAATAGTGGCGGCCCTAGCTAACAGCTAGCAGACTAGCTTTAACGACGTTCGTTGAATGTTTTTTTTACGAGGGACAGCGTATAACCAGAATCATCAGTATGATAATAAAAGTGATTAGATCCCAATATGTCATATCGATATTTAGACATTTTCTACCAAGCTACGTGATTCCCATTATGATTCCATGCATGCGCCTAGTTTATAGACGAGATCTATTCACGCAGCTGCTGGCGGTTAGAATAAAGTAGGGATACGTAACACTGGCGAAAGATTTCTAGCGTATGAAATTGATAAGCAACAAATATGCCTGTTTTCACAACATGCATGGTTATTACTGCTCTATATGAAATATCGATTCAAAAGTCCCACATGACTCCTACAACAACAACAACATACACCGTATCTGAAACCTCATCTGGGGCGCGCGCGCTCACACACACACACACACGCACACGCACGCACGCACGCACGCACGCACGCAGACACGCACACACGGGGACACACTCAGAGACAGACACACACGTGCGTGCGCGCACACGCTCATGCGTAAGGTAAGGGTTACGGTTAGTGATAGGGATAGGATTAGGATGATGATGAAGAAGAAAAACAAGCAGAAGAAGAAGAAGAGGAAGAGGAAGAAAAAGAAGAAGAAGAAGAAGAAAAAGAAGAAGAAGAAGAAGAAGAAGAAGAAGAAGAAGAAGAAGAAGAAGAAGAAGAAGAAGAAGAAGAAGCAGGAGATGATGATGATGATGACTTATTCGTCGGGGTTCCTAAGAACGTAAATTGAACCGCCTCACCATACAGCCAACCGAACATTTAGCAGTGGGCCCGGCAGAAATCTACGGTAGTATTTACACGTACCTGGGTCTATACCTTATAAGCACTACCTACGTACGTAGCTGCTATAGGGCGAATACTAGCGCCAAGAAACGGACATACATCAAGAGACCGGTCGTATTGACGGTGGTCTCGCAGCCTGGTCAGGCTAGGCTAATAATACATATCCTGGTCTACCCGTCTACTAATAATAAATATACCTTGGTCTACCCGTCTACTAATAATACATATACCCTGGTCTACCCGTCTACTAGTAATACATACCCTGGTCTACCCGTCTACTAATAATACATATACCCTGGTCTACCCGTCTACTAATAATACATACCCTGGTCTACCCGTCTACTAATAATACATATACCCTGGTCTACCCGTCTACGAATAATACATACCCTGGTCTACCCGTCTACTAATAATACATATACCCTGGTCTAATCGTATACTAATAATACATATACCCTGGTCTACCCGTCTACTAATAATGCATACCCTGGTCTACCCGTCTACGAATAATTCATACCCTGGTCTACCCATATACTAATAATACATATACCCTGGTCTACCCGTCTACTAATAATACATACCCTGGTCTACCCGTCTACTAATAATACATACGCTGGTCTACCCGTCTACTAATAATAAATACCCTGGTCTACCCGTCTACTAATAACACATACCCTGGTTGACGAAGCTCATGATCATATCGGCATCCTGCACGAAGTAGCTGCTGGTGAGGAACGTGTAGTCCTGCGCCAACTCGCCCCGCTCGCGCGGCTGCGGCAGGTAGCGACGCTTCACCGTCTCCAAGTTAACGTCCTCTTCGTCTCCCGTCAGCGTCTCGTACAGGTCGATCATGTAGCGCGGGGCCGAGTACGACGTCAGGTTGGCGGCGTGCGAGGCCGGGTTCGGACGGTGGTGAAGCCCGAGCAGCGAGAGAATCTCCTGCTGCATCTCGTTGCGCTCCTGCTTCGGCATCGAGCGGTACATGATCGTCTGGTCGACGCCGTTGTCGCTGTAGAAGCCGGCCGTCGACGCCTCGCAGATGACGAGCAGGGCGCAGAGGAGCAGGCAGCAGCGGCGGGCCATCGTCGCTGGGGAAAGGACTGCGGGAGAGCCCGCGAGGGAGTGATGTTGGTTAACTACGACAGAGTAATGAGACTCTTGCAGGAACTACGGACCAAAGAGGAGAAGCACGGCTAGGGAACGATTGACAAATTATGAGGCGAAGAGAATGGGATGACTAGGGATGCATTTACAAACTAAATGGCAAGGAGTAGGGAAGGGTTAGGGACGCGTGTACGAACTATGGGGTAAAGAGAAGGGAAGGGTTAGGAAAGGATGCCCGAACTATGGGGCGAGAAGGAGGAGGAGAGGGAGAATACAAGCGTGCACAAACTATGTGGCAAGGAGGAGATGGAGGGCAGGTAGAGACGGGTACATGAATGAGCTCACTCGATGCTGTTATCCACTGTGTCTTTGTAAGTTAGAATGTAACTCACTCGGCGCCGTTATCCTCAGTATGTACGTAGAACCTACGGCTGTGGTCGTCCACGACTCGCATTGGCTCACGTCCGGCACCACCGTCGTCGTTTAAGTGTACAGTTCGCGTGTAAGAGATCGAGAAATACCCCTCGTCTCCAGTCGACTGTTCGACGAGAATGGAGAACTATAAAACACATACACGCGAGCGCGCGCATGCACTCACGGAGCAGCAGTAGAAGTGGAGCTACGTATGGGGACGCGCTGCACCGTCATGGCTGACTGGCGGGTACGATCATGGAGGCTGGAATGCGATGCGCGGGCGCGTAAAAGTGGCAGCCGGTGCGTGTAGCTAGTAGCCGCGGCTCTCTGCCCCGCCACCAGCAGGGCTGTTTACCCTCGCCTTCCATCGGCCTCTCAATGGAAATTAGCGGCTGCTTAGAGAGGCACGCTTGTGTCAACAGAGGACCACCTCGCTGGTTGTTTGTAGTGCGCGCGGGGGTCACTTTCGGGCAGAACAATACTGCCCGCACTGGCCATATGTGCTACTGTGTGTTGGGTGAAATTCGCTTTTCTTTGTTAGTGGGATGACTGTAGGGGTTAAACGGAAAGGAGAGCACCACGTGTTGACTCATTTGTTATGCTTTAGAAACCTACGAGTTAAAACTGCGTTTTTCAAGATTTTTATAGTAACCCCGTTACGTGGTTCTATACTAATGTTTGGTTCAGCAGTTGGATTAAATAATTAAATCATAAAGTCTATGCTGCAAGCACAGGTAAATCTGAGGGGCATCATTATTAATAATTAAAAACATTAATAAAGGGTTAATTTCGCAAGGCAATATGAGAATGCTGCGGGGATACGTGGATGTGTGTGTGTGTGTGTGTGTGTGTGTGTGTGTGTGTGTGTGTGTGTGTGTGTGTGTGTGTGTGTGTGTGTGTGTGTGTGTGTGTGT